ATAATAATAATAATAATAATAATAATAATAATAATAATAATAATAATAATAATAATAATAAAGCAAAGTTGGATTGTGGTTTGTAAAAAAATAATAGTTTACATGGCTAGTTGAAAATTTCATGAAAGTTCGGATGGCAGAGTTAATTTCCCGTTTATTTAAAAATTGAAATAGGGAACGATCTGTTTGATATTTGATGAATTTATTTGAACTTTTCTGCAGGTGATGAATTTCTTATTGAAAGTAAAACATGCAAAATCTGTGCTGGATAAGGTTCGGAGGATGATGTGGAAGGTATAGACGAAAACAATATATGTTCAGACTTTCTTTTTTACATGCTTGCATAGACAGTTTGTATTTGTTCCGAATGAAATTTTTAAATCAGAAGCTGATTAATTTTGTGAAAAAAAGTTTGCATTCGTGATGCCAACTTTTATTTTTTCTCCTCATTGCTTATTTGGATATTTGATGCCGTCACTTTCTGTTTTTCAGGATAGAGGCATTGCAACAAGAAAACAAAAGCATCACTGGTTACTAGAGCAAAAATTGCTTCATTTCGTTGATGCCTTTCATCAATATGTCATGGACAGGGTAATGTAGATTCTGATTCTTAAACTTTTACATCACTGCATAACTAAAATCTTTTATTAAGACAAATATTTCAAGTTAGTACATCAATAAGAAATCGTATGGCGAGAACAGGTATACCACAATGCATGGCGTGAGCTTTGCGAGGGTGTGACATCAGCTGGAACTCTAGATGAAGTCATCGATGCACATGAGACCTACTTGCTATCAATCCAGAGACAGTGTTTTGTCGTGCCAGACAAGCTGGTCCGTTATTCCACATTCTTTGCCTCTCTCTCTCTCTCTCTCTCATATATTTGTTTCTTATTAAATGCAAACTATTTGGGACAAGTATAGAAGTTGTGATCACTTGATGATTCTTTTTTTTTATTATTGTTTTCAGTGGGGATTGATTGCTAGTCGTATAAACAGTATCCTTGCCTTGGCCCTAGATTTCTACTCCGTACAGCAGACCCTAAGTAGCGGTGGATCAATTTCTGCAATCAAAGCAAGATGCGTGAAGGAAATGGAGAGGATAGAGAAACAGTTTGATGACTGCATGGCCTTTCTTCTCAGGGTACCCTCTCTCTCTCTCTCTCTCTCTCTCTCTCTCTCTCTCTCTCTCTCTCTCTCTCTCTCTGGCGTCAAGATTCTGCATTAGGCAATTTCCCATCTTGATTTGGTTCTACTTTGTAGCATGTGCTAAATCCTATTTGCTTTCATCACTTTATAGGACCTTGTTTCCAAATTTGGTCACCAGATTTTAAATTTAACCTGTGTTTATGTACTATTTTAAATAAGATATATTTTGTTTCAAAATGACATACTTTAAAAATACATGTAAAATTATTAACATATTATATTACAACTTTGTTAGAGTATGACGGCTTGAGTCGCCTGACATTTGGGTCGTCTCATTTTAAAATTGTTTATAATAATAAATTTTATAGTCCACATTTTTTTAGCACAATCGACATTTGATAGCAAGACTTTATGTGTATAATAATTTAAATCATTATTTATGAAAACAATGTGTGTCTAAATTTATCTATTTGTATCTATTTATTTATACAATTATACTTCTCTAAAAACTACTAATGCTTTAAAAAAAAAAAAAATCTAAAAGTATTTTATGTTTATTTTAAGCTATAGTTGTAATCACACTATGAACTACAAAGTAGGAATTTAATCAGATTGAAAATCTCTTCAGATTTAGGTCTCTTGCTGCTGCATGTAGTTTCGTGCACGAGCTTTTGCCCGTATCCATGCTTTATGAGTAAACGTGTATTGTTATGATGTCTATGCTTTTAATAACCCTATCAGATAATAGTTTGTAGTTCTCCATGAAATATAAAATTTGGGAATTAGAGATTATACATGAAATTTGTTAAAATGACTAAACTATTCAGAAATTTTTATGAGATTATTTTTCCATGAGTTTATCAAACACATTTGGAATCATTATAAGATTTTATTTTCAAAAATCTTATCAAGAAACTAGAAAGTATTTTTNNNNTTTTTTTTTTTTTAAAAAAAAAGAGAGAAAAAAAACTTGCAACTTTGACACCCTGCTAACTTATTACAGTATTAGAATAATGTATGTGCCACGCACGTGATACTTAATAATTTGCTAGTCATTTAAAATTTTATGAGAATTTTTATTTGTTAATTTAACATTTTATCAGTTTAATTAAAGAGAGTATATTTTATGAATAAAATGTATAGAACACTGAAATACAATCTTAACTTCTTTTAGGTGAAAATTAATTTAGATAAAAGCATTTTAAAGAAAACTTTTAGAAATGAATTCAATCATTTTCGGGGGGTAAAGTTTTGATTGGTTTGTGTTTGACTTTTGGTATTTAATGTGTCCTCGTCACTGTTCCAAACACGATCATCGTTGTGCTATCTTCCTCAGTATTTCTCCATTTGCTTGCATATGAGTACACATGCTTTATTGATCAAGCTTGGACAAATTCACCCAGTTCCAAGCATTGGGTCAATGTCCTTAATTAAGTTTAAAGTTAACTAATAGTAATGAAATCATAACAATGATAAATGAACTTCAACTGTAGAAAAACTATGAAATAGAACGACCGATCTCTATTATTTTACAGGCAACCTAATGAATCTTTCATATTTGATCTTCGCAATAAAACCGCACAAGATTATCTCGCATATGAGAGTAATATCATAACAAACCTTTCATCTCATCCTTTGGTTAGTAAACACCAGTTGTCTGCTAGATATTTTATTATTCTGTATTGAATATGGATTTTTTATGCTTTATTTATTGTTGTGACGGGCATTTCAGATTTTATCTGTGAAGCTCAATGTCGGACAGTTCCCTCACTTGGCAGCTCTTGTTACTCGTATAAACTACAATAACTTCTACATGTCTGATGGTGGGACTCGGCTAACTGTCCCTGCTCTTTCTGCCACTTCCCGTCCAACTTAACTAACTTACTCCCGAATAGAGTTTGATTTCTTAGTTCTGCCAGTTTTCTTCTGTGTGGTGTTAGTATATATATATGTAATTACATGGTTCTCATAAGTTCCTGGATCCAGAAATTGCGATTATTGCTTATTGCTTGTCAACTTGCAGAATTTGATACGCTTGTACAAGGATTTTATCAACCATCACCAGTACACTTATTCCTTGTTATATGTATCTGATAGAAACTTTTAATTGATAATAATACACAATCGTGTACATAGAAAAAATAGTTTTAAACATGATAAATAAATATTTCTAACAATTTTTTGTATCTGATAAAAAATGAAAAATGTATCATTTTATTAATACGCACAAAGAACTTATTTTATTTATTACCTATCACACATAACTTTTCTATAATATTGCATTAAATTTAAGTTTTATTTATTTATTTATTTATTTATTTTTTATCTTGAATGTAACAACTAGTATAACACCCGTGTACGACACGAGTATTGAATTAAGAAATATTTACATCAAAATTAAACATAAAAAATATTTTAAATTTTTGAAACTTTTAAAATTGCATTGTTAGTTTTAAAAATGACGCTAGAGTGTTATACGAACATAATCACGTTATTTTTTCAAAGTTTAAGGAAACAATTTTCGTATTTGCAATAATTAAAACAAATCATATAAAAATAAGATATTATATATGCTAATTACTTAAATATAATTAATTGATAGTACAATTTGTGATAATTAACATGCTAATGCTATAGATCACACAGAAACTCTCTTACTAACAAAATAAAAAATTGCCATGTATGTTTATAGGCAAACACAATGTTTTAAATAGCGTACCATACCGACTGATATTGACGGTAATATCGGATAGATTTCATTGGCCGATACAATTACCTCTAAGTGCCATTTTGGCATGGGCAAAAATACCGTCTTATACCAGTTTCATGCCAAAACATACCGGCCAAAATATATGATATACCGGATTAAAAAAAAATATATATTTTTTTTATATCTTTATCAATTTATTTACCAAATTTTACACTTAGTTTTAACATGTTTAAATTATTATTATTTTTTAATAAATTTTAGTGTTTATAAATAAACCATGTCTATACATGTGACTAATTTAAAAAGCAATCCCATTTACTAGAATTAGTAGGAAGAAAAGTCAACTCATAATTAATTGCACACCATAATTAGGAAGTTTTTAGATTTTTTAAATCATAAAATAGGATAGCATTAAATGCCCCTAAAATTACTTGTTGAATTAAATTTTAATAAAATCTGCATCCAAATTTAAGTGTGGTTTTGAAGTGAAATTTTGGAATTCAAAATCTCTTCTCGTTTTATTTACAAGAAAATCTTGCTGCATTCAACACTTTGACCAATTTAAAAATTATTCCTTAAATGAAGGAATTTATAGATATTTGTTATTTCTACTCAATCACATGATTATTTTCAATATAAAAAGAGACATATTACAAATTAGTGAATCATATATTACTAATTCAATATCTTAACATTAGGGAATAAATTCATAGTATTATGTAAATTTGTATCTCATATTATTGTATCTTTAAGAATATATTATAGTTATATTATCAAATCATAAAAAGATATTAAATTCATTTGTGAACAAAATAATTCATATAATAAATAACAATTCTACTACACTATTTAACAATATTCCCTTGTATTATATAATAAAATAATATCTATATATTATATGGTGAACAAGAATAAGTAAAATTATTATTTTCTCTTATATCAAGAGATAAATTTACATGCTAAAATTAATTTTTTATTAGTATAAATGTTTTAGTGAGATAATGTATTAATTATTTTACAAGCTAGCCCTAACATGCTCATATTTAACGTTCTGGCTAAAAAAACAACGCTGGTTAAAAGGTGTTGAAAAAAGTTTATAACGCTATTGTTTTTTAGATTTAACGTTTTCTAAAAGAGGTAGAAAATAAATAATAACCTATTACTTTTTAGACTTAAACGAACAAGGCTGTGAAAATAACTCATTTAATATCTATGTCCCGTGCATCGCACAGGGTACGTACTAGTCGTAAGAGTAGAGAATGTTAATTGTTTGTAACCGATGCCATAACACAATTGCCATATTATCTTAACAGTGATTTATTTTGTGCAAATAAGTAATTTTTTTTTTTAGTTATATATGCTTTGCTACATTTATATGTGTCCAAACTTTAGTTTTAAATTCAATAATTACCTCTAGACTACCTACTTCAATTTACCTCTTTGAAGATATTTTATATTATTTTTTATTCCAATGCATGAGAAGAAATTAATAAATAAATCTGCTACAAAAGGAAATACAATTGTATCAAAAAAATGAAAAGATATGATGAATAATATAAATCCTTAGTAAAATGATATAAAGAAAGAAAGATTTGTCTGATCTTTAAATTCAAGACAAATTTGGTAATAAAAGAGATTGATAGGAGACAATTATGTACGATAGAAAAATTATTTATGTCACTTTCCGAACAAATCTTGCTTCTAAATTTTTTATCCGAACCTAACTACAAAGCATAATATTGTGACATGTAGGATTCCAAAGCATGTCTGTCACTTAGGCTCAACACGTTTTGAATTAATATATAGGGGGATGCCAATTAATACATATAATAAATATATTTATATATATAACAAACTCAAATTATACTATAACCATACCGATAGGTTGTCCGTTGCCATCTCGGTTATGAACCTTACTTATATTGTACAAGGAACAAATCCATTTACTAAAAATGATAATGCTTTTTTTTTTTTAAAAAAAATGTTATTAGATAAATAAGTTCTTTTAAACATTTTTTTTTTACTTCTATTTATTTTTGTTCATTTTGGTATTTTTTTAATCATCTATTATGAAACTTTTATTTTTATATTAGGTAATATGATTGGATAATTGATCTAAATCTATTGATTAAAATTTCTATAATTTATTAATCAATTATTTTTTTTACTTAATCTATAGTTTTATTTGATTTGAAAAGCATAAATATAGGGATGTAGTCATAAATTATCACTCAACGATACTTATATTCATATTAAAAAATATATAAAATTTAAAACATTTTCTAAAATGCCCATATTTTGTTCCCTCCTTAGTTTCCATATCATTATCTGTTTTTTTTTAAGTATTAATAATTTCTTTTTTTTTTT